TTCATGCGAGGGGTCAGCGTTTAGGGCAGCCCTGGAAGGTCACTCAGGCTGTCTTCCAGAAGAGCGTGGAAGAGCTAGAGGCACATTCTGCTTTGAAAGCAGTTGTAGGGCTGCAGAAGCCAAGAAGCATTTCAGGATCTGCGCCGTGGCCTCCAGGCAGGAAACTTGACATGGGCAGATATGGGTAGTTCCCAAAATTAGGGTCCCATTTTGGTACCCCTAAATATTATATAATCTATAACCAGAAGGGGCCCATGATTTTGAGAACAACCCAAACAGCCTGGAGTTGACTTGAGCAACCCCTTTTTCCAGGCCAATATCTCCGAGGCGCGAAGCCTCGCTTCATGTGAGCCACAATCTAAACTCTTAAAGGGAATTATAGGGGAGCACTATAGGTGTTATTGAGGGGGATACTAGGAGTTTAGACTTTAGCTTATGAGTTTTTTGGGCTTCTGCTAAGGACAAATGCATATTGCAGGAGCTTGTGGCCCGACTCGCGCAAGCCCTCCGACAGGTCTGCACACTTTGCAACACCTCGCGACCGCATGGGAAGCCCATGGCTACTACTACAGTACTACTATATATATATGTATGTATACATATATATATATAAATGTCTATATTCAATCTTTATGATTATATTCCTACTAGAAGTTTATCAGTATTGTCATTTTGAGTTTCGTGCGGGCTGTACCGTAGGAGGCCTCAGTTGGGACTCTCAGCGATGCCGGTGACGTGTTTGCTGGAGTGCGGACCTTGGAAGCAGGGGAGCCCCACCCCACAGCCCAAAAGAGGCTAAGGCTCCAGGGTTATATAGGGATTATATACTGGTTATATGGGGTTTATATTGGTATAACGGGAAATAAAATGGAAACTACTACTTAGGGTTCAGGGTGTAGGGTCTTAAAGCTTAGGGTTTGAGGCTCAGTGTTTAGGTCGCGGAGTGCCGCAGAGTGAACAGAGCTGTTGGTAGCGTGAGGTGGACCCAATGCTGGGCGTGTGTTGATCTCAGAGCCATACTACTATAATATCCGCCAATAAATACAACATATTACAATATGTTAGAATATTCTATGATATATTACATTCTATTACAATATACTATAATGTACTGTATCATAGCATAATATACAATAAAAGTATACCATAGTATACTAAAGTATAATATAGTATCATGTAGTAGAGCTGCGAAGGTCTTTTCAGCATGCCTTGTCTGAGGCCTGTGCCGGTGCTGCCATGCTTGGGACAAGGTGGGAAGGAGTCTGTAGTATACTGCATGATACTATACTATACTTTAGTACATTATAGTATACATTCGTATGTTATATTTTCTATAGTAGCTTGTTGTTTGGCTCCAGCCTTTTCGAGAGCTTCGAGCTTAGGTAAACCCGGGCTGCCAGGGCAAGAGGTGCGGCTGTGTTGGCCAGATTCAGATGCTTCTATGGCCTTGCTGGTTTGCTTGTTTGAGGCCTGGAGAACCTTGCCATTTGGAAGCGCCTTTGACTTCCAGCCGCCCTTCCAGCCATTCCAACCGCCGGAGCCACCGGAGCAGTTGCTTCTGCCGGTGGGAGAGGTGGCAGAGGTGGCGGGGACTCTGGACAGCGCTGGTGCAGCTGCTCCGTTTGGAGCAGTGCCAGCCACCCCCGGCTTGAAGACAGAGGCGGTTCAAGAGGAATCCTCCAAACCTTCGCTGGGCCCTGAGCCGAAGGACGCATCCCTCAGCCGAGTGCTCAGCGACATGACGGGCCTGGTGGCTGCCCTGGAAGCCCAGCACTGCTACAAGCACTGCTTCAAGCCAACCACGCTGCCTCTGGTGGCACCAGTGGCACCAGTGGCACCAGTGGCACCAGTGGCACCAGAGGAGGAGAAGGACACCGAGCGACCTTTCCAGCCTAAGAGCCTCAGAGTCAGCGTCGCCCACGCCGTTGGCCGCACAGCGCAGGCCCCTCCTTGGCTTTTTCAGTTAGTTGGTGCCGGATGGTTGGGGTTTCCACGTTCCTTTCCGCGAATGACCTCTAAGATTCGAATTTAGTTGCACTACCGCAGAATCTGGTGAAGTCTTTCGCATTACTATTCCTCGATGTGAGGCAATTCTCTAGCTGGCTTCCATGCCCAAAGCCCACGGCCACCTTGTACCCTGACCCGACGCATAACAGTTCGAAAGGTTCAGAGCAACAAACCTAACATCTAAACTTGAACCCTTGCTTTAGCCTAAATTCTGAACACAAACACTGAAGGGCCAGGTGAAGTTCATGCTGTTTCAAGGACACTGTGCATGGTGCCCAGGGGCCTCGCGATTTCAACTTTCCAATTGAACGGGAGTAAAAACCCATTGCAAATCCAAACCCCAAACCACATGATAGTTCTTCCCTTTGATTCTGCTAGGTAACATCCCTTAAGCCCTCAACCCTAACCTCCATACCCCTAATAACCCTAGAACTTCCCCAAAGGACTTGTAACCCTCAACTCTATACTCTAAACCTAAACCATGAAGTCCCCACCAGAGCCCTAGAGTCTAGAAACCCTATAAACCCCACACACCCCATAAACCCTCTAAACCCTATAAACCCTATGAATCCTAGAAACCCTTTAAACCCCTTTATAAACCCCATAAGCCCATACATGCCATCCAATGATCGCCAGGCCATCCTCGGCTTCGAGTTGGCCGGCCAGCGGCGGCAAGCGCCCATCGAGCGGCCCAAGTCCTAGAAGAGGGAGTGGGCTAAGGGTTTATAGGGTTTAGGGTCTAGGGATATGTTGGGGATATATTGGAGTTACATTGGGATAATGGAAAATACAAAGGAAACCACCATTTAGGGTTTAGGAAGGTTTAAGGTCTTGGAGGGCTTTGGAGGTTTTAGGGTTTGGGAGTGTCAGCAGTTTGAGAGTTTGAGGATTTAAGCGGTTTTCGTGTGTTTTCGGCTTTGGGAGTTTTAGTCTTTTTTTGGCAGTTTGAGGTTTTTAGGGTTCAAAGGCTTGACAGAGGTGTAGAGATTGGGGCCTCGGGTTCTCCCCAAAATACCAGCAATATCTTGCAGAAATGAGCTGCGAGTCATTCAATATCTTGCAGAAATGAGTTGCGAGTCACAGCTTGAAGTGGATATGCGCTCTTAAGTTTTCATGCTGATCATGAGTTGACGCTGTCGTTTTTTCATATTCGCTGAGACTTTTCCTTGAAAGGCAGGTGAGGCGCGGGTCGTCTCTCTTAAAGCTTCTCCCAGCCCTTCCGGGTCCAAGAAGGTTCACAAAGCCATCAACCCTGCACCCCTTTACTTGAGCGGAGGTTGATGCAGCTTCCCTTAACTCCCAACCCCACCCCTAACAACACTAAAGTCCGCAATTCTTAGACTTGACCCTGCACCTTAAACCTTAAACACTGAACCTTAAACCCTAAACCCCAAAGCCTAATTAAACCTTCAACCATATGACCTGAGGTTGATGGAGGGTCCCTATGGCCCAGCCCAGCTCTTGCGGCTGCCTTTACCACCCACCATGGCCTCCTGGCCGTACCCTCGGAGGGAGGAAGAGCTTTGAGCCATAGTTAAAGGGGGGTATATATAGGGGATGATATAGGGGAGTACAGAAGCATAGGGGTTAGTGAGGGGGATACCAGGAGTTTGGACTATAGCTCCTTTAGGGTTTAGGGTTCAGGGTTGAGGATAATGGAGAATCACATGGCAAAGAAGATGGCGAATGAAATGGAACAAGCGTTTTATAGAGGTCTATCTTCGACCGGGTTTTTGGCATCTGGTATGGGCCTATGAAGCCCACACCCTAAACTCTGAATCCTAAACCCAGCGTTTCAATCTGAAATCCCGCCATGAGCTCTGCACGCTCAGGATGGAGCTGACCTTGCTATCTCAACTGGGAAATGCCTGGCTTGTCTTGCCGGTTGCTGAGAGGTTGTTTAGGGTTTAGGTGTGCCACCTGTGGACTAAAGGGCCTTCGAAGTTCAAAGTTGTGGGCATGTCGCAGTGGCTGCATGTTTCCAGGGAAGTGGCAATACTCCAAACTCCCACTCTGTCTCTCTCACCTCGCAAATCACCGCCAGACCTTTGAGGCACCCCGCCGTGGCCCAGTACAGGGTGGAGATTGGATCGCCTCGGCCTCACTCCTTATCGGCTTTTGACAGGAGTTTCTTCTGAAAGTGCAAGAATGTAAGCAATACCAAGAAACACAATCGTTGCAGCAAGAAGAACACGTCAGGACAAATAACCAACATCGTCCCAGCCCAGAACCCTTACAAACTCCAATAAGTAGCTTGTAACTTCACCGTCGCGACAGGAGCCATGGGCAACCATCATCAGAACACTGGCAACAGCATCAACCATTGTCCTTGACCAAGAAGCAAACGATGTCAGCAATACTTCCTAACCCCCAACGCTGGCATCCGTATCGTACTGTCAACTAAGTCTGACAGCCATTTTGAGCCCTTCACCCTGAAGGCTACGGCTAAGTCCGAAACCCTCAAACCCTTACCTATTCTGAACCCTATAAGTAAGCTCAAAGCTTTTGACACCTGAGGCCCTCCGCACCGGGTCGGCTCGAGTTCCGAGTGTCGGGTGCTCAGGGAGCTGCCCCAGGACTGAGTAGGATTACTGCTGTGTACACTGCGTAAAAACCCCATCTAGTGATGATTCTCTGGTTATGGGGGTCCACTTTGAGAAGTGATGTGCAGGAACATCACTAGGGATAGGGATGAGCGTGTAAGGTTTTCTGGGGGCAGAAAGGTACTCAAGTCGCAACCAGGTTGCAGCTGACAGTTTCTGTTCACTAGAAACATGGATGACACTAATTCCGTGCAGAATTTACCTAGCAGTAGGTAGTGCTTTTTCGGTCATTCTCGATCAAGCGGTCCCCAGAGGCTGGGTAGGATTCTCGATGATTTGGGTTGTGCTTATGACAGTCATGATGCTCGTCTCCGCCATTTGTGGCAGGAGTCCCGATAATCTTGAGTAAGCTCACAAGCAATGTGATAAAGTCCTTTTCAGCTGCCACAATGTATAGCATTAGTCATCCGTAGCAGCAAGCCCTAAACCCTTATTTCTCAACCCTAAACCCTAAACCCTAAAGCCTAAACCCTCATCCCTAGACCATAAACCCTCATCCCTAAACCCTAAGCCCCAAACCCTAAACCCTAAACCCTAAACACTAAACCCCAGACCTTCTACGGCAAGGTCTGGCCTGAGAGGTGCTTTTGACGAAGCCAGCATCTGGAAGCAGCATGAGAGGCTTGGCGCAACTAACTGCAAGCACAAAGGGGAGCTCCAGCAAACGGGGTACATATATATATATATACATAATATATATATATGTACATATACATATACATATACATATACATATACATATCTGTATACATATACATATGTATGTATGCGCTGACCACACATACATAAATATTTTTATAGCTCGATAGATATAGGGTTATCTGGGGTTAGTCTGTAGTATGTGGACTTTCGAAGGAGCATCCCAAAAATAATCTGAGAATAGCAGAAAGCTTTCAGTTGCAAGCTGGGACCGCAGTTGGGGAGCTCTGGATGCTTCAGGTATTTGGAGGCTTTGATCCAAGCGACCCTGTCGGCAAGGCCGGGAGAATCAGTTTGGATGCTCCCCCCCCACCCTAAACCCGAATCCTTAAACCTTAAACCCCAAACCCCAAAACCCTAAGCTGACCTCCAATCCTGTGCCCTGAGCTCCAAGCGCCAGGCCACCAGACCCCTTCGACTTCATGGCTAAGCAAGTTTCGAGCTTGGAGCTGCAGGACCCTACTGTGCAGGGATGCCACTATAATGAGGGTTTATGATTTGGTTTTAGGGTTAGGGTTGAGGGTTTAGGGTTCTGCCTGGTGCTTAGTAGGCCTTTACTGTTGTGCCTATGTAATCCCCTAGCCTAAGCTAGTCTCCATATGTGAAGTTCCTGAAATTAGGATTCCATTTTGGTTCCCCTACACGGTGGGTTCCGTAAAATAATGGGCGTATAGTTTTGAGAATAGCCCATATGTAGCGGAAGGATGGTTGTGCGCAGGGTTTAGGGATAGGTACGGGGCAGCCATGCGTGGCAGCTGCTTGATTCAAGACGAGTGCCATGTCTTTGCCGAGCTCAATACTCATAACCCCTTTAACGTTGTATAACCCTCAAATAGTAATATGTTCTACATAACCCTAAATAGTCCGTTTTCTGCCGTAAATCCTAAACCCTAATCCCTAAATCCTAATCCCTAAATCCTAAACCCTAATTCCTAAACCCTAAATCCTGAACCCTAAATCCTAAAGCGCTGGCAGGATGACCAGGATGACGGACTTCGCAGCTGCGACCTCCGCGTCCTCCGAGCCGAAGGGCGCGGACCCTGCGGGCGGCTGTGGGGCTCTATATGGAGGTTGCCTAAATAGAGGGGACTTTTTGGGGTCCCTATAATTCAAACTTAGTAGGGATTATAGTATTTTGGGGTCAAAGCAGCGTCCTAAGCTGGGATCAGCCAACAAGCAGACAATGTTGGAGTCGTGACGCAAGGCAAGACAAGACTCAGATGGCAAGTTCTTTGTTTGTGTCGAGAAGTGTCTCCCTGGACTACTTGCTGCGACATTCTTTTCCACTGGAGGCCTTTAGCTCAAGAAGATCTATCGAGCATCCTTAGCTTTCAATACATAATGAAGTTTGCAGTCACAGCGCTGCTGTGGACATCGCTGCTCCAGGCGAAGCACCTTCGTGCATACAAGGTGTCATCACCACCTGTGGATCCGTTGTGTGCCCCAGGAGGCGGAATGCGAAGATTTGGTGAAGTCTTGGGGCTGTGCAGGCACCTTCCGCTTGAAGTGTCCTGGCCTGGACCATCCCCTGGGTCCAAGTGCCCTGGATACAACCGTGGCCCGGCTCTGCCCGACAGACTGCCCTGATGGAGAAGGTCTGCCGAAGGCAGAGGAGGTGGTCGACAAGGAGATGGCAGAGGCCTCAGGGGCGCTTCCCATCTCGGAAGCTCAAGTCAATGAGGC